GCGGGTGCGCCGCCTGTCGCCTCCGCCCGCTGTCTGCGCCCGGTGATCGAGGGCCGGGGGCGGCGTCACCGCGGCCCTGCCCTCTGACCCCCGTCCTGTGGGCCATCCCGGGCTGTCGCGTGTTCCTGGAGGTAGTGGTTCTCCCCCTGCTTTGAACGTGTGTCTGTAAGTATTCATGCTCTCACGTGGGACGTCGAATACGTTGCTGCTCTTTGCGCAGAAGTACACGTGGCAGTGGGGCTGGCGAGGGGCATGTCCAGTGACGCTTGACGGCATTTTGACGCACTGCCAGAGTTGAGAACCACGGCCTTAAACTGTGCCTCCAGACCGACTTCTCTGCCTCCTCCCTGCTTTTCCCAAGACCTGGCAGGCATCTAGGTTAGAGTTTTTGCGTTAGGTACAATTAAATGCATCACGAAGTAAATGGGTTGCAACCAACATTTAAAAAAAAAAAAGAATAGAAAATCTTAGTGCATTTCACATAATAAAGGTAAGAACTGTGAAAGTTCTGATTGTGTGTGTGTGTGTGTAGATGGTATTTATCCTCTAAACTTAGGCGCTTTTTTGAGAGTGGAAGGAGGTGCAGTATAATTACTCCAGGACCAAAGATGTAATCTGAGGCTTTCGCCGGCCAGTCAAGACATATGGTCCTGTCTATGTGGGTACTCAGTCAGAATGTAAAATGTGTTACAGACATTTCCATGGTCCCCAGCCATGTCTTTGCCCCAAAGTCGTCAGGGACGCCCCATGACCTCCAAGGATTACACCCAGTGCCGTGGAAGGCTCCTGAAAATTCAGTGTTGCCCAGTCTGGCTTACTATTAAGGGTTTCCGTCACTGCTCCCAATACACTCTTTTACTCCTGGTTATGCTCTAGAAACCATCTTTTTCTTTTCACCTGATGCACAGCCATCACTCACCTTGTAAAGCAAGTTCAAGCATCACCCCCTCCCCGACTCCAATCCAGAATGGCCCTGGTTGAGCACCACCTCTCCTTGGTGTCACTTTGCAACACAAATTCCAGTTAATTCTTGAGTCATCCATCCTCACATTGTTTACATGGTTCTCCCCCGACTGAATACATGATCTTAAATTTTTTATAAGTGTTTATATTTATGTAAGAGTATAAACCTCAGTGACGATGATGGTTATCTCTGGATGATGAGTGTGCTAATAATGTTAGTTTCCAAAATTTCCGGAGAATTTGCATCACTTGTATAATCTAGGAAAAAAGAAAAGAAACAATTGTGTTGAATAGCAATGAAAAGTTACATTTCTACTTCCTGTTGCTAGTCTAGAGCGTAGTCTTCTAAATTTTTTATGTAAGTTTTTATACATAGTTTTTGTGTTGAAGTAATTTTATATGTACAGAAGTGTTGCAAATACAATAAAAGATAAAAAATTGATAAATTGGACTTCACGAAAATGTAAAGCTTTGTGCTTTGAACACCACCATCAAGGAAGCAAAAAGGAAACACACAGAATGGGAGAAAATATTTGCAGATCATATATATAAGGATTCAGTATCCAGAATATGTAAAGAACTTTAACAACTTAATAAAAAAGATAAGCTAAAAAGTAAAGAATTGGAGTGGAAATTTCTCCAAAGAAGATACAGAAGTGGCCAATGATTGCACATAAAATAAGCTCAACATCCTTAGTTATTAGGAAAATGCAAATCACGGCTCCAGTTAGATACTACTTCATACCTTCTTGGCTGTAATGCAAAGGACAGACAACACAAGTGTTGACGAGGATGTGGAGAAGCTGGAACCGTGGCGCTTCACTGGTGGGAATATAAAATGGTGCGGCTACTTTGGAAAATAGTTGGACAGCTCCTTAAAAAGTTAAATGTAGAATTATATGACCTAGCAGTTCCGATCTTAGCTATATACCCGAGAGAAATTAAAACACGTTCATGCAGAAACTTGTACACAAATGTTTATAGCAGCGTTTTTTATATTAGCCAAAAGGTCAAAACAACCCAAATGTTGAATGAATAAGCCAAATGTGGTATAGCCACACAATGAAATAATTCGATAATACAAAAAAATGTACTGATATACGCTACTACATGGATGTATAGATTTCTGGGGTTGTCATAACAGTACTGCAAGCTGGGAGGCTTAATAGGAATTTATTATCTTGCAGTTTTGGAGGCTAGAAGTCTGAAATCAAGGTATTGGCAGGGTTGGTTTCTTCTGGGGAGTGTGGAGGAGTATCCTTTCTATGCCTGTCATCTAGCTTCTGGTAGCCTCAGGCATTCTGTGGCTTGTGGACGCTGTTCTTCCTGTGTCTTGACATCGCCTTCCCTCTATATGTGTCTATCTCTGTCCAAATTTGCCCTTTTTATTAGGACTCAATGACAGGATCAGGGCCCACTGTACCAAATGACCTCATCTTTACTTGACATCTGTGAAGACTCAGATTTCAAATGAAGGCATGTTCACAGGTGCTGGGGTTAGGACTTCAACATCTTTTGAGGGTACACAATTTAACACATAAAAATGGATGAAAACATTATGCTAAATGAAAGAAGCCTGTCTCAAAAGGGCACATATTGTATGATTCCATTTATCTGAAGTGTCTAGAATAGGTAACTGTAGAAACAAAGGATATTAGTTGTTGCTTAGAGCTGAGAGGACAGGACTAGGGAGTGGTTGCTAGTGGGTAAATGATACGTCTGTAAAGCTGTTTGAAATATAATCACGATACACAGAGTTTTTGTATACCCTTCAGCATCTAACATTAGCATATTATGTAACTAACATAATAATCTAATTGAGAAAATTAACATCTAAATAATACTTTTTACTAGTTTACAGATTTCATTTAAATTTCACTAATTGTCCACATCATGTCCTTTTTCTGGTCCAGGATTCAATTTAGGATCTCATGTTACATCTGTTTATCCTGTCACTGTAGTCTCCTGCAGTCTTAGATGACTTTTAGTCTTTCTTTGTCTTTGATGACCTTGACACTTGAAAAGTATGTGAAAGTTATTTTGTAAATTGTTCCTCAATTTGGGTTTTCTGGTTGATGAGATTAAGGTTATGCATTTTTGGCAAGACTGTTAGAGAAGTGATGTTTTGCACTTTTTGGTGCATCATATTAGAGACATGTGACATTGATAAATCATGACTGGTTAAGTCTGATTATTTTGTTAAGTCATTTGTCAGATTACTCCACTGTATAGCTAAACATGTTTCTTTTTAAATTAAGTGGATTGTGAGGAGTAACTTTGAGATTAAGTAAATATATTATTTTTTAAAATCAGACTTTCATCCAGTAATTTTTTTAAAGAGGTTTTCATTTTTATTAATTTTTTAACATTTTTTATTGATTTATAATCATTTTACAATGTTGTGTGAAATCATCTAGTAATTTTAGATTCCATTCTTGCTTACAGCAGTTATTACTGTAGTATTTACCAAGTGGTAATTTTCTATTTCTAGTTTTCTTTCTACGTTTGTTAAATGGAATTCTGCTGTAAGGAAGAGCTGTCCTTTCTCCTCCATTTACTTAC